TTTTGAAACATTGTATCACTGATTAATACTAAAAGCAATCAATTTTGTGATATAAATTTTTTAATGTTTTATATTGTGATTAGGCCTGTGTTGTAGAGTCGGAGCCGATTGGCCGGGCCTTAACTCTATTTGGATGTATGTATAACTCGACTAATTACAAACTCCCGGCGACTGCCGCTAAAGAGGTTTGACTATATTTATTATTCTGTATGTGTTTGTATGGTGTGATAGTACTGTTTATCGACTGTAATTTAATAATAGCCCAAGATTTAGTAGATAGAAATTTATACGTATTTATCTTAACATTGGGGTAAAATATAGAGAAATTATAATTAACTATAATTTTATTTGATATCTATAAATTCAAAGTTTTTTCAACATAAAATTTTAATATACATTTTTTTATATTATTAATTACGTTAATTAATATATATTTTTACAAGCTAACAGATTATAACTTAGTATTCTATTGGGCATTTTTGGAACGCGTTCCATTTTTTTAGGGTGACCAGTTAATTTTGTCAAAAAAACACTGAATTTGTTTATTAATAATTTATTAGAAAATCAAATTGTTAGTCAGTAATAATATTTTAGAGGTTTGGTAACTATATAACTAATATAGAATATGTTACAAACTGTAACCAGTTTAAAAATATACACATAATATTAAGTAGAAAAATACATAATAATTTATGGCTATATTATAATGCTTCTACTATCAATATAAAACATTAAAAACTAATATTAAATATGTTACAAACTGTATCAGGTTTTGAATCTTGATTGCTTTTAGTATTAATCAGTGATACAATGTTTCAAAAGTATAAAACAATAAAAACATTTTAAATAAATTTTTTAAACAAAAAAGATAATTAATTTTATAATGTTTTTGATGGATACCAAAGAATTAATTGGCACTGCTATAACACTAAGTCATAATTTGAGTGCAATTTTTAAATGTTGATTGAAAAATAATTTAAATTAAATTAATTCATTAGATTTAACCAAATTTTTATTTATTTGTTTAAGCATGTTAGGAAAATGTAATAAATAGGATAAAAGCATTTATATTCAGCGATTGGTCATCGTTTGACCACATTTTGCTTATTTTCCCAATTTTAAGGAATATTAAAAAATTTCAGCGCAAAATTATTTTCCTGGAATATATTGTACCCTGAGATCCAATGAACGCATTTAGACATTTGCCTGCAATACACGCGTTATTTTATAATACAGTTAACCATCAGTATATAATTAATAAGGGGTTTCTCACATGGAGTGTAAAATTAATTAACTGTAAGAAACTTTATGATTATGTGTTTGCTGGCTTTATTTATTTTATCTTTTAATCATAAAGTAAACAATTGTTTTACCAGATATTATTTATTGATTATATGCTGAGCGTTAACTGTATTTTGAAATAACGTGTGTATTGCAGGCAAATGTCTAAATGCGTTCATTGAATCTCAGGGTATATTCAAAAATGGAAAATGGGTAACATTAAGTTTACGTAACAAAAAAAACAATTCTTACAATTAAATTGTGATATTTTGTGGTCGATATATTTATTGTTTAAATAGATTAAACCAACAAACCATTGAATAATTGAATAACTCTTATACATAGATTGTAATAGAAATTTATAAAAGATTAATGACTTATAAGAGATTAGAAATTAGTATTCAATAGATATGTTTAAAGTTTATATGTTGGTCACCCTGTGTTATTTGCCCGTAAACACCTCTAGTGCCCATTCCTAACTTAGTACATAATTTAAATTATAAATATAAATATCAACTGTAATTTAATAAATGTAGAATAGGTAATAGATATAAATATAAATGTACCTGTTTGTATTATTGGGAAATAAAACACTTATTTTATTTTGAAATCCCATTTACATTTAATTAAGTATACATTTAAAATGTAACATTTTAACTAATTAATTTATGTATGCCATTTATTTAATCAATTATGTTACTAAACTAATAATTAGTAGTAATAAACACATTTTATACAGTGTTCAGCGAAACTAGGTTTCAACTACACGGCTATCGACGAGTGCGCGTCCGGACCGTTGGGTCGGGGACTACACCTGCGGAACGGCGAACGTTTCCATGCGGCCAATCCCGTGGCCAAGACTGTACCCCAT